CGCCCCTGGGGTGCACTGACACAGCAATTGAGACTGGGCGTGGTGGTGCACGCCTGTAATCCCAGGGCTTGGGAGGCTGTAAACAGGAGGATCACTCAAGTGTGATCTGTGTAGTGAGACCCTGTAGACCCTGTACTAATACACCAACAATAAATAAATAAATAAATAAATAATAAAAGGGGTTGGTGTAGCTCAGCGACAGTGCGCTCCCAAGTGCAATCCTCAGGAGAGGGGGTTAAGGGGGGGGCAGCTGGTGAGATAGTTCAGTGGTCTAAAGCGCCTGCTTCGGTAAGCTTGGGTATGGGACCACGTTTCGCTCCCCTGGCACCACATATCGGCCAGCCCTGCCCCCAGGGTGGGCTGAACTGGTGGCAAAAAAAAAAAAAAAGAGGAGGATGGTCAGACCGGCAATTTGGGAAGGTGTCAGACACTAAAACAAGCCTGAGACCTGCACCTGGAAATTTGGAGGCCAGGGCAGAAAGCCCTGCCAGGGAGAGGCCACCCCAACGCTCCCTGCACTTCCTGCCTAGGAGGCCCCAAGCCCTCCAACTCTCACCTTTCCCTCTAATCTCTTGGTTGGAGGGGGACCCAGCCCAGCTCCTCCCTCGCCCCAGGTCCTCATCCTGCGTCCTGGTCACCTGCTCTGTACCAGGAGCTACATGAGCAAAGAGTCAGACCTGGCCTGAAGTTACACTCCATCCTCCCAGTGGCTGAGGCCAGAGAATACACACAGAGCTATGATAAGACAGCCATGACACCGATACAAGGTAGAAGAAGCCAGGGCTCCTGGCCATCTCTGTCACCCATGAGCTGGGGACTGTTTCGCTTCTCAGCTGTTTCACCCTCAGCCGGCAGGCCTGGGCCCTGGGGATTCCCCCATGGGGAGGCACCAGCCCACCGGAAAGCAGAAGGGAGGTGCGCAGGGGGAGCGGGGGCCGCGAGTCCAGGGCTCTGTGTGCCCCACCACCCGCCTGCTGAGAGATGTCCTCAAGGTCATTTTCATGTTCTGAAGCCCCATTGTTTTCTCTGACCAACAAGACTGCTAGAAGATGGACAAGAGGATCTTTCGGGATTTTTCTCCACATAATGTTAGGCGGTGCTGTAAAATGAAAGCTGGGTGGATGGGCGGGAGGGGGGGTGTGTGGATGAGTGGATGCTGGATGGATAGACTACACGCATGTGCTCTGCCTAAAACAGAACCAACTTGCTGTCCCAGAACCTTCATAGTCTCAGACGCAGAACATGAGCTAAAACATAACAGAAGCCCAAATGAATTAGCAATGAATAAGAAAATAAATTAGTTTATCCTTTTTCAATTTTAATACTTTTCTATTGTAATTACTGTCCTGTGTATCTTTTTTTTTTTTTTTTTTTTTCTGGTACTGAAGACCTTGCTATTGCCCAGCAAGTGTTTATGCCACTAAGCTATGTCCCCAGCTTGTCAGTTTTGGGTTTTTTTTTTTTAAGAGGGGTCTCACTCTGGCCCTGGATGGCCTTAAACTCATGGTGAACTGGCAATGATCCTCCTTCCTCAGCCTTCCAAGTGCTGGGATTACAGGCATGTGCCCCCACACAGTGAGGTTGTGTTTTGCTTTTGGTTTGGTCTCTTTGAAACCGTCTCACTGTGCATGCCTGGCTGACCGCAAGTGCTGGGGTTAGGACAGGCACCCCGTGCCTGCTGGGTCTCTTCCCATCATGCACAACACATCGTGTCCCTGTGTTTTGTAATTTGCGGCTGCACTTTCTGCGTCAGCAGGGCCTTATCAGTGGAAATCTATTGGATCTTATGATTTTTTTTTGGTCTTATTATTTAGACTTTTTTAAATTAATTAAGTGTATTGGTACATTTTGGGTAAATACAATGATCTTAATCATAGGTCACAGAGAGCAAATTTGTCAAGCAATGGCCGTGACTCGTCCACATGGCTGACACTGACAAAGGATCTACAAAGTGCGGTACAGGGTTACAGGATAAATCCTGAGGGTACTTGACTGACCTTATCAGATACAAAAGTTACATTTCTTGTTATATAGGTCTTGCTTTATCTTGGTCTTAACCATCCAGCAGAAAAGTATAAAAACAAGACACATAAAGTAAAGCCATATTAATATGCTGAGCTGTGAAAGGCTCAAGTCAACAACTTCTGCGGATAACCCACTACTATTGTGAACTGCTGGACTGTGTTGGATTGTTTTGCTGAATTCAAGCACCTATAGTATTTAGATGCCTATAGAATACCCACCGCTGAGAGGACTAAACAAAAAAGGGGATACAAAGGAATGACCATTTTGGATTTGTATATACAGAATAGTTAGGATAGATATACAGCTACTTTTGCTTAATTCAATGAGAAGAAAAATTTGTACTGATAGTATTTTTTTTCAAAGTTTTATTGATAAACAGATAGCAATGAGACAGTTTCAAATCAAATTGGAAGTACAGTTTCAATAAATAATACACTGCATATATTCTTCTTAGTGGTTAATTGCTGTACAAGATGCGGACTTGAGATCCTATTTACAAACACCATTAGAACAAATCATTCTATTCATTAAGAGAATGCAACTATATATCTATCCCAACCACTTTGAATACACAGATACAAAATGGACATTCATCGGTATACCCCATTTTTTCTAAGTTCCGTTATTGAATATTATTGGTGTGTAAACTCAGCAAAATATTCTAAAAGAGTCCAGTAGCCCATAATAGCATTGGGTCTTCTGTTTAACTGGCAATGTCAGAAATTATTGACCTGAGTCCCCCACAGCTCAACTTAATAGCATGACTTTATTTCCTATATTTCGTCTTCATACTTTTCTACTGGATGGTTAAGACCAAGGTAAAGCAGGACCTATGCAACAAGAGTTGTAGCTTTTTGGTCTGAGAAGGTCTGTACTAATAGTATTTGGACAGGATATCCTGTCTGCTTCTTGTACTATGGATAACCACTAAGAAGGTAACAGTGTACAAGGTATTAATTACTGAAACTGTTCTATTAAACAGCTTTGAAACTGTCTTATTGATATTTGTTTCTCAATCAAATTAAATTAAACAAAAAATATTAATCATAGGAATCCTGTACACGATACATCTAGATCCTTTTTTCCCATTTTCCTACCCTCTCTTCAACTCCTCTTCTCCTCCTCCTTTACAAATGCATTGTTTCCAATTTTCCTTCTTTTCTCAGTTTTTCTTTTCCCTGCCTTTCTTTCCCCTCCCCCTCCCTAGTTCTCCTTCCCCTGTAGACATTTTCTTCGGATTTCACAATGAGATTTAAGCTTAATGTCTCACAAAGATCTGTGGGTTAAAGGCTTGTTCCCAGGGTGGTGCTACGGGGAGGTGCTGGGGCCCGGCGGAGGCTGCCCTGGGAGCCTGGCCAGTGCTGCTCCTGATGGGAGGTTCTGCTCTGCGGAACCTCCCATCTTCCTAGGATGGGAAGGCGACATCTTCCTAGGATGTCGCCTTGCCGCAAGTGAAAATCACACAGCCCGAGCAGTCCCACACACTCACGCCCATGCGTGAGACCAGTTTGGAGAACACAGTGAGACCCTGACTCCTCAACTAAATAATAACAATAATAATATTTGTATATTTTTTTATATGCAGTTCAGACTTGTAGTGATCCTCCTGTTTAGCCTCCC